GGGAAGATCACAACGCCTGACGTGGTTGGCGTGGTGAGGAAGTGCAGCCATTGTGCATTCCAGGGAATGCCTGGTCTTTCCGCCAGTTTTGTTTCTAGTTCAATTTTGCTTCTGGTGCTCTGTGAAGAACTCAGCCTTTATTATTGTCTGAGGTGCAGATTCTGTTTTTGTAGTGGGGATGTTTTCAAGAAGAAAGACAGCTCCAGGCTAGAGCCTGTGTGCCCTCTGGCTGGCTTCTTCCACAGTCTCTTTGCATGTCACATACTGTACAGAGAGAGAGAGGGGAAAAGAGTCCACAAAAACAAATGTACAGGGCTATCGAGGTGACGCTATGCATATGCATTAAGAGCGCAGGGGCAGCAGGTCCTCCCAGATGTTCACTAAATGCTTCAGCTCTGGGCACAATGGGTGAGCTTGTTAACCCCTCACCTCTGCAGAGGGGAATTGGCAAGGGTGAAGTTGCTGGTGTCCGTTCCAATCATCAGCTATTTGTGGTACCAATAAAACGCTCATGATGAGCCCAGATGGTGATAAGGGTCTTGGTCATGAGCCTTCTGAGCAGCATTCATAATGCCGTATTGCACATTAAGAAGCATCATTTTAGTTTTGCTGGATGAAAAGGCCTGAATGTGAACCTGGACATTGCAAGTTTCTGGTCCTGAGTATTAACTCACTGAGTCTCAGCGTCCTCGCCTGCAGCACCCGCCCCACCTCACAGGGATGCTGTGAAGGGGAGTTAAAGCCCACCCGAGAAGCACAGAGCGTGGCTTTGACACAGAGGCTTAACATACTGATGATGAGGGGATGAAGAGGAGGGGGACATGGTGTTCCAGGGTCACGTGAGCTGGGGGAGAGATGCTCCCGGTTCCTCTCGTCTGCCCTTCAGCTGCTCGGCTCTGCACCTGTCGAGGGCCATGGCTCTTCATCCACGGCCGTTTCGCCAGGCTTCCCCACGTCCCGACTTGCTGTGCTCCTACCACAGTCAGCAGGCGGTGCACCGAGCCGTGGGGGGGTCTTCCCGCTCTGTCGCCGCCTCTCTTCCCCAGGGTGACCCCCACTGTGCTCTTCTACTCTTTTACCTTTTGTCATTTATTTGTTCATCTTTGCAGTGCTGGAGATGGGACCCAGGGTCTCATACACGCCTGGCAAACGCTGTACCACTGAACTCCATTCCCTACCCTGACCTTCTTTTAAAATTTAATCTCCAATAATTTTATCCCTGAGATTTGAAACTGCATCTCAACATGTGGGTACAGGTGTTCTTCATATCTAAGGAGCACTGTTTTGCAGATTACTGGTTTTCTACCCGGGTTGGTTCCCCCTGACCATAATGTCATGTTGGTTTAGGGCATGGGTCTACAACTGGGCTAAGTCTGGCCTCTGCTTGTTTTTTGCAAATGACATTTATGTGAACATGACAGGACCGATTTCTGCATTGTCTGTGACTGTCTTCCCTATCACAGTTTAGTAGTTGCAACAGAGACCATGTGATTTCAAGGTCAACAGCATTTACCATGTGACCTTCACAAAGTTTTCTAGTCGCTGGTTTAGAAAGTAGAGGGAGTAGCTCCTCTGTCACAGCTTTGAGGACTCAGTATGTGATGTATGGAAAGGTCTTTTTAGGAATGAAAAAGTTTCTTTCATCAAATTTTAAGTCAGGAAGCAAAAAGACTGCCCATTTTTCTCCCAAATTGAAATGAACAATAAACCCGTTCAACCCAGTATCTTAGCAGAAAATTTATATCCAATATTTTTTTATGCTTTTATGACACCTAGTTTTTCAACTAATGTGGCTGACTCCTCTGGGCTGTTGGGGCGAGTTGATAAAGCTCCTGAAGGAATTGTGTGGCTGGCTGCCATGTTCAACTGTCCCTGGAGCCAAACGCTTCAGCTGTGGGCAACTGACAGAACAGGAACAAGCTAGACATGGAGTTGGGCCTAGGAATATGCAAGGAAAGGGGGATCAGTGAGACCACACAGAAGGCGTAGGTATAAAAAGAAGGATCGGAAGACACATCTCGAAACAGACAGATACCTGGTGAATTGCGGCGAGACGTCTAAGGTGTCTTTGCTGTAATGACGTCCTGGGGCGCCTCAGGTCCTGTAAGAATATTTGAAAACAAACATTTGGAATGGCCACGAGGAGCTCTGAAGGGCAGGTGAAATCAGCTACGATCCAGGAGAGGAGACGCACAGCCTGGTGGGGAGGCGGGAGGACACTGTGTGCTGGGGAGCCCAGCAAACACTGCTTCCTCGTCCCTCTCTGCTCCAGATCACTTTTGGAATGGAGAGTCGGTCAGCGCAGCCAGAGGCCCCAGGTCCAGCTCTGGTCTCACTCTGAGCAACAGTGGCCTGTGGCCCACAGATGGAATCAGCCACTGAGAGGCACCAATGGGCTGACATTTTAGAAGTTAGTTTTGTGGCTAGAGGAGTGGACGATCAGGAAGAATGAGATGGTTTGGGACAATAGAAAGAACTCAAAGCGGGAGCAAAGCATGGCAATGAGGAGGGTCTACACTTGCTCAGGGACCTCAGGTTACCCAGGGAGGGAGTGGGTGCACGTGGTCTGCTGGGAAGGAGCCAAGTGGAGAGCAGGATAGGTCGCGGGTGCCATCTGTCTCCAAAGACCCATTGAACAGGACAGTCACTTAGTTTCCTATAAGCTCAGCTTTCTGTGAAATTGGGTCAGGTGGGATGGGACAGAGAGGCAATTAAATCCAGTGATCCTTCTAGGTCCCCAAATGATATTGCTTTATGCAAAGCTCTAGTGTGTCTACATGTTGGCAGCTCAAACCTATCATCTATCTATCTATCATCTATCTATCTATCATCTATCTATCTATCATCTATCATCTATCTATCTATCATCTATCTATCATCTATCTATCATCTATCATCTATCTATCTATCATCTATCTATCTATCATCTATCTATCTATCATCTATCTATCTATCTATCTATCATCTATCTATCTATCATCTATCTATCTATCATCTATCTATCTATCATCTATCATCTATCTATCTATCATCTATCTATCTATCATCTATCTATCTATCATCTATCTATCTATCATCTATCATCTATCTATCTATCATCTATCATCTATCTATCTATCATCTATCTATCAATCATCTATCTATCTATCATCTATCTATCTATCTATCTCATATCTACTGACCATCTATCATTTCTTTATAGTCTGTCTAAAAAATAAAGCCAATTTTATTTTCCTTAATGAGAATACAATGCAAATTTTCTGTGATTTGAAAATGCCTTTTGTTTTTCTCTTTTTTTTTTTTAATTTTAGTACTAGGGGTTGATCCCAGAAATGCTTTACAACTGAGCCACATCCCCAGGCATTTTTCTTTTCCTTTTTAAATTTGAGACAGGGTCTAAATTGCTGAGGGTCTCACTACATTTCTGAGGCTGGCCTTGAACTTGTGATCCCCTTACCTCAGCCTCTGATGTCGCTGGGATTGCAGTGTGTTTCACCACATCCAGTTGCCCACTGCTTTTAAGTCTGAATCAGTCCATGGAGCTTAGTGGTTTGAAAAGTTCTGATTGTATGAATTGTGTTTTGACTCATTGTTGTAGAGATTGATTATAGTAAGAAGGGAAAAAGCCCTACATTCTAGCAAGTCACAAATAAAACCCAATAAAACACTGGGTATGCTTTTAAACAACATTGATACCTGGAAAGTGACAGAGTGAATGTGCTCTGGTAAGGTGGCTGCTGAGAGGTGGGACGGACGCTAGCACCAACACGGAGAGAGAAACGCTGCCTCTCCTGGAGGCCAAGCACTGTGTCTGCTTCCCTCTTCACGGTGGTGCCTGGGCTGGGTACTTCACCAGGCCCACGGAGAGCAGAACTCGTCTTAGGGAGCTTGATTGAAATACCAGAGGAAGAATGAAGGTGAGATCTGACCCTGGCCGGAAGCCCCCACGGATCCTGCTCTTCCCCTTTGGATCACCTGCTTCCCTCAGCTCACCACTGGGAAGTCCACAGGTTGACTGTTGTGACGTCCTCAAATTCAGGGTAGGGTTGGTGTGGCATGCACTTGGAGTCCTGCCCTGTCACCTCCAGAAGGGTCAACCTGGACAACTCACTCAACTTATTTTCCCATTTGTTAAATGGAGACATCAATCTGGACCTTAAGGGACTGTTGTGAAAGTTAAAGATGTTGCACTTATTAATTGTGGGCACAGACCGAGTGCCAAGGTAATAACACGTTTCTTCTCTTCCCCTGTTGAATGTCCAGGGCACGCCCAGTTTTGTGCCAGGGAACATGGTGTAAATGGAAGAAAGCGGGGCTGCTGGTGTGGACGGTTTTCAGTTTAGTTGAAAGGAGAGAGACTCATGGGTAAGGACGTCGTATTGATCTGTGGTGTGGTATTTGCTTGGAACCTCAGGTCCTCAGCTGACTTGGCTTTAGTGCTAAGTTTTATTGGTAATTTTAAGTACCGTTGGAGTCCCTTGTCCTTTCTGTTGCACACATTGATATTTGCTTTGTTTCCGTGTTGTGTACTCGGTTGCATTTTAGCGACTGTTTTCTTTTTCAGCAGAGGCATTGGACTTGGGCGTCTGATTCACATTGGTTTAACCTTTAAGAGGCTAGAGATCAAGTAGATGATACTTGAAAAATAATACCTTTTAAGAATCTGAAAGAAAACCCCACATGTGAGAAAAGGAAAAATGTATATTTCTACGTGATTCTTAGGAAATTCCACTTGAGTCAAAATAATGTTCCTAATTTACAGAGGTTCTTAACGAGTCTCATTTTGCTTACCATTCACCCTCTTCAGGAGAGACAACTTCTCATTATTAACTAGTGGACACACTGAATAAACTTCCCTCCGTGAAGGTCACCCTTCTAATCAACAACCTCTCTCCCTTGTGTGGAAATAGCTGATTGTCCAAAACACTCACATAATACCCTCTGCCATGCTCTTTTCCCAATTGAGGTAATCAATCACACGGCTTTTTTTTTTTTTATAGGAATATTTGTATCTTGTGAGGATGCAGCTACAGTGCAATCCTGGGGTAGGAGAACAACACCAGCAAAACCCTTCTCTAAGCACCTTCTATGACACCGTAAGTAAACAATGAGCATGGTCTTATGAAATCGTTTGCATAGACCATTTGGAGTTTATCTCCCTCCTCTCAGAGCTACAAGAAAGCAAAGGGACTCGTGTGGATTCCCACCACGTCAGAGAAAGAAGAAGGCCTTCCACACACAGGGGACCTACTGAGGGCGCCAGCTGTTGGGAAGGACAGCTGCGAGAAAGCTGACACCGCGTGGTGGCCTCACATGCGCTGCCCTGGCTGGCAGCTGAGCCGGCTTTGGTCAGCTAGCCATCCAGGCCCTCAGCTCTGGAAGCCCTGGGCAGGCAGGACAAATGCTTGAGGGAACAACTGCTTTAAAAGAATAGACTGTGTGACACTCCCAGCTGCGGGGCCATTGGCGGGGCCAAGCCAGCTGTCGCCTGCAGCTTGGGTTTCCAACCCGAGTGAATGGCTGGCTCTGGGACGGAATTTTGATCATATGTGGGTTTGTTGGAATTCAGCTGTTGACGTCCACAGGGTGCGAGTTAAAACACCAGTCCAAGAGTCGCTTGTCCCGAGGGTCTTTGTCAGCTAGAGCAGACCCTCCCGCTCCAGTAAGCACTTAGCCCCATGTGAGGTGCAGAGAGTACAAGAATCCCCAGCGTCTACACTTCCAGGCAGGTAAACCGCAGCGCCCAACACAACACCTATATCTGATAGTCGCTATGGGTTTGTTAAATGAAAGAGTCATTACCTAAGCTGTCCAGGCTGGTCTTGAACTTGAAGGCTCCAGTGATCCTCCGGCCCCAGCCTCCCGAGTAGCTGGGATAAGAAGCTCATAACACATGGTCAACTTTCCAGAAAGACCTCTGCAGGATGGCAGGGGGGTCTTTCTGAGTTAGATGATGGGGTCAAGGAGGTGCCCCCTCCTCTCTTTGGAGAAGTGTCATAAGCAACATGACATCAGTGGGGACAACATGAACACACCACCAGAGAGGACTTGGTAAAGCCGTGAAGGGGCACAGGGAGGAGTGCAGGTTGGGTCAAGGGAGGAGCAGGGGGAGAAGACCTGGAAGTGCACAGCTCTCTGAGGGAGCCAAGTCCTGCTGTCCTGTCCCTGGGGAAAGGACTGTTTTGTGCCAGGAAATATGGTGGAAATGGACGAAAGCTGGGTTGCTGGTGTGGATGGGACACAGAAACAAAGCAAATATCAATGTGTGTAAGAGAAAGGACAAGGGACTCTAACGGTACTTAAACCTCTACTTTAGGGATTTTCGCACAGGAAAATCAAGAAAGACGGGAATGAATGGGAAATCGCCAAGGCCAGCTCTATTTTCAGGAAAAGATGTGGCGCAGAGCTCTGGTGTCGGAGGCTCAAAAGCTAAAGGAAGTCATGATGTGTGTAGCGAGCACACCAACAGCCCAGGCAGACGCTGCCTCGTGCCAGCTCTGAGGAGCTGGGTGGGCAGAAATCCACGAACTAGAGAACACACACTCCTGGGCAAAGATGCCTCAAGAGCAAGGGCAAAGGTCACGGCAGTCAAAGAACAAAATGCTGTAAAGAAAACTTGAATTACACGTCTTCTCATGGATTTAAAAATAAAAGCATGAATGACAGGATCTACACACAATCTACACCTCCGCAGAACTAGAGCAGGAAGCAGGGACCGGAGGACGATGGCCAAGGCCATGGAAGGGGTGACCGTCAGGAGTGACCAGGGCTGTGGGGAAGAAAGGAAAAGAAAAAGGAAACCGTCTCCAGAGTGAGGGATGCAGGGTGGGCACAGCAGGACAGGAGCCGGAGTGGAGGCTCGGCCCCACAAAAGGGAAACAAACAGGCTTTTAAGAAAGTTCAGATGAAGAATGATCCAGGGAGTAAAGGACCAAACAGAAACACATAAGGAGAGTTCTGGAAAACACAAAATAAGTCCAGAGGCATGAATTCACATCAGACTTTGGGGCAAAAGCATTAAATGAGACAAAGGGTCCATAAAACAGCAAAGAATGTGGTCAAGGAGGAAGATGTCGGCGTGTCCCCCACCAGACACATGGTGTCACCGGAAGGAACAAGAGCAAGTCAAAGTACCTGGGAAGAACAGTGGTGCAGAGAGACAGATCATCGGCAAAGGAAAACTGACTCCTCTCAATCCCCAGGTCCGCCGGGCAACACCCCACCAAAGAAGCTGACCTGAATTCCCCAAAAGTAGAAAGAGGATGGAATCTTCTTTGATCAGAACGAAACAAACAAACTAGACATTAGAAGCACGAAACTCCTTGCCTCTGTAAACGGAGAATGAAGCATGATAAAAGCAACGACGATGATGGCGAAATCTACGTTTGAAGCTACTGTTGAGCAAAGGAGATAACAAGAACGGAGAATGGACGGTGTCTGAAAAGGTAGGGCCCATGAGCCCTCCGTGAAGTGACGGAGAACTGCGCTGCGGACCCGAGTGGGAGCCGCTGTCCCAAATGCACCTGTTAAAACGGGAGGGTAAGAGTCCAGCTGAGAGCTCAGGACGGAAGGACACACCCGGGGAGGAAGGCAGAGGCAGAGGAGAAGTAGTGGCCGCTGGCAACCCCAAGAGGTGGGAGTGTCAAGTGAAAGCCAATGGTCACAGGTCGTGACCAACAAGAATCCCAACAAGAATCTCCAAGGTGAGGGCTTGAAGGTGGAGCACAGATGACTTTCCCAAACTAAAGGGAGAGGTGGCGGGGCCAGTTGTTGAAGGGGAAATGAACAAAGCTGTCAAGAGCTGCCTTTTAAAAACAGGCGTGGCCCAGATGGCAGGGCAGGGAAATTCTGCCCAGCATCTAAGGAGCACCGGATCCCAATGCTATCAGCGTGTTTGAGAACACACCAAGGGGGAAGGGACGGTCCCTAAATTCTTTCTATGAATTTAGCATTATCTTTCCAGCCTTGACCAAGAGACCATACCAGAAAAAAAAATGACAGAGGCAATTTTATATAAAATGTTAGCACCACAAAAGAATAAAAATAGTAAAATGGAATTTATTTCAGAAATCCAAGACTAGTTTAATATTAAGAAAACTAACATGATTTGTAGTTTTTGTGGGTTAAAGGAGAAAAATGGCAAGATTATCTCCAAAGTTACCAAAAACACCTGTTAATGATCAGTGTACATTCTTGATTAAAGGAGGAAAGAGGGATAAATAAATCAAAAAAAGCTTATCTCCTGCATCTCATCTCAAAGGCAGTAGCACACTTGTCAGAGAAACACCAGGTATATTTATATTAAAGTGAGGAAAAATAAAACCATATATTTACCTGTCATCACTATTATTTAGAATTGTTTCAAATGCACTAGACAAAATGATTTAACAAAAGAAAAATTTAAAATGTAAGAGCTGGGAAGGAGAGAAAAAAACTTTAATAATTGTAAACTAAACGTGTAGTTTATGAAAAGTGTAGGTAAGGTGCTGGTTCCAACATTAATATGCAGGTATCAAAAATCTCTGTTTATGAACACAGCCAGTCAGAGAGGAGGAGAACTCACTTTCAATAGCAATCAAGAAGATTAAATACATAGGCATAACTTTAACAAGAGTTGTCTATGAGCCACTGGAAGAGCACTTTAAAACTCTGCTGACACAGTATCAGTTTTGTACAAATGAAAGTTCATTGTTTTATATAGGAAGACCCAATATCATAAGGTTTTAGTTGTCTGTAGGTCAAACTATACATTTACTGAAACTTCAGTAAAATTACTGATGGATAATTTCTTCTGGAGTCAGATAAGTTGATTTTAAAGTTTCTATGGAAAAATAAACACACATATTTAACCAAGAAATTTTGAATTAGCAGAATAAAGCAGGGACATACTTTCCCAATTTAAAATAATGTGGCTTGAAATAAAAATAGGAAAATAAATAGAACCAAAATAGGCTCAAATACTCTTAGTATTTTGTTGATTAAGAAGGTAGGGTTTCAAATCAGGGGAAGAAATGTTGATATTCAATATAATGGTATTGGAACAATTACAGTCTAGCCTCTGGAAGAAAATAAAGTTGTATTTCCTTTGTTGCATTAAGGTAAATTTCTGATGAAAGAAATTAAATGTACAATAATAAAAGTATTAAAAGACTTGGAAAAAATTTTTAAAAAAAATTTGTAGCAGAGAAAAGCTGTATAATTTGGCCCAGGTCCACATGCTGTACATACGAAGATGTGGTTATATAAGACTAAAGTGCATGTAGCAAAAGTATCACATATGGAGTCAAAAGAAAAATTCAAAAATGAAAGATATAGTTGCAATTCATCTTACAGAGAACTTAATTTCTCTAATATATGGAGCTCCCATGGATGGATGAGAAAGTTATCAACAACGATCTGTCACGGTGACCCAGGTCAGCTGGCTCTCCAACATGGGCGAGCCATCCACACTCACTCACAGGAAGAAACAGTCAATCAAAGCCAAGCTGATATGGCATTTGCTCCTATGAACTGGACGTGGCCAGGAGGTTTGCATCTTTTGATGGAGAGCATATATTTTTATAGCGTTTACGGACAGCGAGAGGCAGCATTCTATCAGAATTAGAAATATGCACTCCTCTGTGGACCACCACTGCACTTTGGACCCAGGGCCTACCCCCATGCCCCCTCCCTTCCTCTACCTCCCCTTTGCTCTATCTAGAGTTTGTCTAATCCTCCCATGCTTCCCCCACAACCCCATTTTGAATCAGCCTTCTTATATCAGAGAAAACATTTAGCATTTGTTTTTTGGGGGGTTGGCTAACTTCATTTAGCATTGTATTCTCCAGGTCCATCCATTTACCTGCAAATGCCATGATTTTATTCTCTTTTAATGCTGAATAGTATTCCAAAGCTTGCTATAGCTATAACATATCTTTATGTCTCATGATTGATGGAAAAAATTTTGGTAACCTCTGAAAGATGTGCATTTGAACATATTACTTCTGTCCTTTAAACTCTTTCAGTTTTTCCCTAACACAGAATAGGGGTCCAAATAACCTAGCGTGGCACCCCAGGACCTCTATACCTTTACTTCACTCAGCCCTCCGTGTTATCT